GGAAGAAGTGCAGCCAGAGTGCTCCTTGGAGGCCAGGATGGCCAAACTTTGTCTCTCATACTTCGGATATTTTGTCAGGAGGGACCAATCTCTGGAGAACGATATCATGTTTGGTAAGGTGGAGGGTCAGAGAAGAAGAGGAAGACCCCCAGCCAGATGGATTGGCCAAGTGGCAGCATCAATGAGCTCAAGCGTGGCAGCAATTGTGACGTTGGCCCAGGACTGGGCAGTGTTTCATTCTGTTGTACATAGGTTTGCTATGAGTCGGTACCGACTCGATGGCACCTAACAAGAACAACGTAGTGTAGACTAAAAAGGAGGCTAAACTTCTAAGTTGGGTTTGCTCCGCTGAAAGTGAAGACTTCATTTTTCTACATTGAACTTTTAATTCTTTCTTGAAAAGGGTTAGGGAATTCTTAAGATTTTTAACCAAGTTACTTGCTGTTAATTTCCGCTCAGTTGGTGATCCCATGTATATCAAAATAGAGCTGTGCTCCATAGAGTTTTCAGTGGCCAATTTTTCCAGAAGAGAGCTAGGTCTTTCTACCAAGGCTCCTCAGGGTGGACTTAAACCTTCAGCTGTATGTTTAACTGTTTGTACTACCCAAGGATTCCTTTTTAAGACTAACTTATTTTCTGCTGTGAATTTTTTGTTGTTGAAGCCATGTTTTCAGTAATGTAAGACGTTTTGAATGAAATGCAAAATAATTTGTTTTGAGGTAATTTGGATTTGTATATAATTTGCGGGACACATTTATCCTGAGGGATCTTTGGTGTTGGGTTGGTGGAAAAAGCCCATTTCTTCAGATTCACACAGTTATATAGGCCCTGTCAGATGGCAGCACACACTAAAAATAGGGTAGCAGTTTCCCACTCAACTCCAGAGGCAGAAAATATAAGTGGGCACTATGTGCCCCATGGGTTATGAAAAGGGTTAGTGTAATTTTTCTCAGTTTTGGGTTGATTATCTCTGAGTGATGACACTGCCTCTCTGTTTGCCTTATTTCTCTTGGCATATAGGCTTTTCTTCTGGAAATAGCTAGTGCAGCTTCTATCAATCCCTGGTTATTTTGTCATCTAGTCTTTTAGCCCTTAGCCTACCTGCTGGACAATTAGGAACAGTATTGGCAGCAGCTCTGGCTTTACTTTAGTCCCACAGATAAGAGCCTGCCTCAAAAGCCCCAACCTTTGTGACTCATGCTTAGCTACTGGCTGATGCCTTCTGTGCCACCTGGGCTGTGGACTATGAAGGCTGCATTTCAGAGAGTGACCCCTGTAAGTTCAGAGCTGGATGCCTGCTCAGCAGGTGGGAATTTTTGGCATGCTGTTCTTTTTAGTGTGGTACCATCTTCCATTATGCTGTTCACCTTCCCTACCACTACTTCCATTATATTCAGTCTAGGTAGTTAAGAAATATTTATTGACTTGAATCAGTGTTATATTCATATTTTTCTCTTTCATCTTTGTTTCTCTGAGGTTCAGTTCTTGTTCTCCATTCCCATGAACAAATTCTTTGTATGGCCCAGTTTAATTAAAAGCAAACTCATTTGGTCTATATTAAATGTTGCTTGAAATCTCTGTTTCTGTGGTTTCCTTTTCTTATACTGTTAATTTGGAACATTCTTTGAACTCTTAATTTTTCTAGTCAATATCGTGTTCACATTCTAGTCAGTACTGCTGTTATATCTTCTACTGGATGAGGATTACCTGATATAATAAAGTATGACAGAATTGAAATTAGAAAACAAATATGAGCAAGAAAAAGTTTATTTACTGCTTAAGATGGCAGTATTAACTTAAAATGGTAGGTACTGTATATAGTATATATAAACTTTGTGTCTTTTTATAGAGTTGGAGTTCCTAAAGGTGCTAAAGGCTCACCTGTTACTGCTTTGCAAAACAAGAAAGCACCAAAACAAGCAGAGAACTTTGAAGATTTGAGGAGAGACGTTTTCCATATGTTCTGTTACCTTGGCCCTCATCTTTCTCATGATCCCATTTTATTTGCAAAAGTGGTTCGCATAGGCAAGTCATTTATGAAGGAGGTTAGTAAGGTTTTTTTTTCTTAAATGTTTTATTGTGAATTATGTGATAGATTACATGGGAGAACATTAGTTTTACATTCATTCTAAAGATTTTTTTTCAAAGCAGAAAACTAAGTTATGATTTGAAAATATTCTGAATATGTTTGTGTTATGAATATTTCTACAAATAGAGTGAATCTAATTTAACGAAATACAGTGAACCAAATTTAAGAAAACATAATGTTGTGTTAGTTTGGGGGGAAATCCATTGTGTCCTAACCAAATATATATCCCAAATATAGGTCGTAATCTAGCTGATTAAGCCCCCATGTAAGAAAGTGACAAGTGACTTTTGGACAAGTGATTATTTTTTTAACCCCCTTGTAATTGCTGGTAACTAAGTGTTCTTGTGCCTTTTGTGTCTGCTAATCAGTTATTTTTGTCTTGGTTGTAGTTTTGAATCATCACCATTATTTATATAAAGCCCTTTTACCCACAGATTATTCAGGATCCATTCTTGTATGTTTTAAAGTAAACTTTTTATTGAAATAAAACACACAGATAACCAACTACAAATCATAATTGTATAGCTCAGCAGCTTTTCACTGAATAAAGCCCACCTTTGCCCACATTAAATAAAACAAAACAGTACCAGTATCTCAGAATTATCTTTGTACTCCTTGTTGTTGTTGTTAAGTGCTGTTGAGTCTATTCTGACCCATAGCTACCTTGTATAGGGTTTCCAAGGAGCAGCTGGTGAGCTTGAACCACTGACCTTGCAGTTCAAACAACTGTGCAGTCTGATGCATTAGCCCACAGCACCACACCAGGACTCCTAGCTGTCACTATCTTTTCTAACATCTGTTTTTTTTTGTAGTCAACTTTGAAGTATAATGTATAGTAACCCTTACTGATTTTAAATGTACAGTTTGATTAATTTTGACAGTTTTATGCCCACCAATACAATAATGATAACACAATATTTTCATCACCCCAGTAAGTTCTTTCATGTCCCTATGCAGTTAATTCTCCTCCTCCATTGCTGGTTCTTCGCAACCACTGATATTCTTTGTGTCACTATGTTGGTATTTGTTGTCAAATTGGTTCCAACTCATAGCGACCATGTATAGGGTTTCCGAGGAGCAACTGGTTGGTTTGAGCACTGCCCTTATGGTTAGAGGTCCACTGCTGATCCTACAGCACCCCATCAGAAGTCCTAGTATTGCTTTTTCTAGAACTTCATATAAATGAAAATACATAGCATGTATGTTATTCTTTTGTGTGTGGCTTTTTCCACTTAACAGTGCATTTGAGAATCACCCAAGTTTTTGCATGTGTGAATAGTTCTGAATAATATTTCATATTATAGATATATCAGAGCTTGTTTATTCATTCACCATTTACTGGACATTTGACTTGTTTCTAATTGGAGCTATTATAAATAAAACTGCTATGAATTTTCTTGTACCAGTCTTTTGGGGTGGCAGGCAGAACTTTTTGTTTTTTTCAGAGTTGGATTGCTGGATCATGAAAATTACTACACTGGTCCAAAATGTCTGCATTTTCCATTCCCCAGGAGCATTGTATCAGAATTTCAGTTTATCTACATCCTTATCTTTTGCATTTTAGTCATTCTGTGAGTGTATAATGATATCTCATTGTGCCTTTAATTTACATTTCCCTGATGACTAGTGATATTGAGCATCTTTTCATGTGCAAATTTGCCATTTGTAATCATCTTCACTGAAGTGTCCGTCCAAATCTCTTGTCTGATATTTAATGAAGTTATTTTCTTTTTTATCATTGATTTGTAGGGTTCTTTTTGTATTCTAGATACAAACTTTATTTTATTCCTTGTTTTTTGTGTTCTAAGAAATTTGCTTGCCTGTCTAGTGGTATTATGACAGAAATACCATATGTAAATGTCTTTAACAAACAGGAATTTATCCTATCACAGTTCAGGAAGATAGAAGTTCAAATTTACAGCGCCAATTCTAGGGGAAAGCTTTTTCTCTGTATTGGCTCTGGGGAAAGGGTAACTTGTTTCCTTTTAGGATCTGTAGGCTCAGCATTCCTTGGGGATGTCCATGTGTCTTGGCATCAATCTCCCCCTGGATCTAGGAGCTGCAAAGTCCATGGACCCCAGATCCAAAGGGCACACTCTACTCTTGGTTCTTCTTTCTTGGTGGGAGTAGGTCCCTGTCTCTGCTCACTTAGCTCTTTCCTTTTATCTTTTGTAAGATGAAAGGTGTTACAGGCCACACCCTAAGAAATCTCCCCTTACATTGAATCAGGGATGTGACAGGATTAAGAGTACTGTATCCCACCCATAATTGTCTTAACAATAGTATTGGTTTATCTAGTCAGATCACTTCATTGGAGGGATCATTACAAACTATCACACTTCATCATTATATAACTGCCAAACTCTGTTGTTGTCAAGTCAGTTCAGAAGGAGCTCTGGTAGTGTAGTGGTTACAAATTGGGCTGCGAGCCACAAGGTCAGCAGTTCAAAACTACCAGCGGTTCCATGGGAGAAAGATGAGGTGGTCTGCTCCCATAAAGATTTACAGCCTCGGAAACCCTGTGTAGGCTCGCTATGAGTCGGAACCGACTCCACGGCACACAACAACAACAACAATAGGACAGAATAGAACTGCTCCATAGGGTTTGGTGTGGCGCCATGGGTTAATGCGTTGGACTGCAAGGTTGTTTGAACTGCAAGGATAGCAGTTCAAGCTCACCAGCTGCTCCTTGGAAGTTATACAGGGTTGCTGTGAGTTGGAACTGACTCATGGTACTTAACAACAACAACAGTCTTTAAGGAAGCAGACTCCTTCATCTTTCTAATGTGGAGTGACTGGTGGGTTCATACCACTGACCTTTAACTTGTCTCATGCTAGTTTTTGCCTTAAAGTGTATGTTTTCACAGATTATTATTGCCACTCCTTCATGGTTTTGGTTTTCATTAGCTTTCCATCCATTAATTTATAATCTATGTTGTCTTTGAGTGTAAGGTGTGTCAATTGTAGACAGCATATTGAAGGATCCTATTTTCTTTTCCATTCTACTACTCTCTGTCTCTTAACTGGCATATTTAATCCATTGATGTTTAGTGTAATTATCGATAGATATGAATTGATTGCAGCCATTTTGCTGTGTGTTTTTTGTGTGTGTGTGTGGTGCTGCTGGTTTCGTTGTTCTGCATTTTTTCCTGTGCTGAGTTATGTTTCTTGGAGGTTACCCTGTAATTTTTAAATTTCTTCCCCAAATTATAGCAGTCTGATTTATCTTGAAGTCTACTTGACTTCTTGCCATTTGGTGTTTGTAACTATACTTTTCTTCTTCTTTTTTTTGTTCTGTAGTTGTCTTCATTATAGATTCATATCTCTGATTCCCTATCTTCAGTCTTGTAGTTTTATTGTACTGTGGATACTTCTATATCTGGATTGAATTCTGGCTGGTGCTGTCATGTATGTCAATCTGTGGTTGTCGGTTCTCAGTCCAAAGGATGCCCTTTAGTATATTTTTGTAAAGTTGACTTGGCTTTTACAAACGTCTATAATTTATGTTTATTACCATATTTGAGGGACAGTGTTGCTGGGTATATGAATCTTGGTTGACAATTGTTTTCTTTGAGAGTTTTGCATATGTATCCCCATTGCCTTCTTGCCTGCATGATTTCTACTGAAAAGTCAGAACTTAATCTTATTGGGTTTCTTTTGTAGGTAACAGTTCATTTTTCCCGAGCTGCTTTCAGGATTCTTTCCTTGTCTTTGATTTTAGAGAGTTTGATTATGATATGCCTTTGTGGTCTATCTTGTCTGGGCTTTGTTCAGCTTCTTCAGTATTTATCATCTCATTTTTCATGGTGTTAGGGAGATTTTCTTCTAGCAGCTCTTCAACTGCCTTTTCTGTGGTTTTCTTTGTCTGCTCCTGTTCTGGAATTTTGATCACCTTTATTCCTCTTTATATTGTCCCACATGAATCTTAGGTTTTCTTCAGATTTTTCATTCTTTTCTCTGATTGCTTTGTATCTTACTAGTATTGAGAGATTTCTCTTCAAGCTCACTAATTCTGGTTTCCATTGATTCAATTCTATTCCTTTGCCCATTTAGTGCATTGTCCATTTCTGATATCTTATTGTTCGTCTTCTGGATTTCTGTTTGCAGGTTTTGTATTGTCTCCAATGCTGTATCTGTTTTGTTAGATTATTCCTGTAGCACTTTTCTGAATTCTTCCTTGTTTTCCTTGAACTTTTTGTGAAATGTTTGGATATAATTCATTATCATTCTCCTGAATTCTTTTTCACGTAGTTCCAGTGCCTTGTCTACTTCAAAAGCCTTTTCTAGCACTGCCCCTTAGTCATTTGTTACTCTGTGTTCTTTATGTGAAGATAAATTTTGTGCTGTTTTCTAGGCATTGTGGTGGTGTTGTATTTGTATTAAGTTGATGAATGTGTGTTGGTTTATCCTTAGGTACTCACCAAGTTGCCTCCTGTTGGGTGTGCTTAGGAGATAAGCTTCTCTGTTCACCGTTTATGCAGTTCAGTTCAGAGTGGATTAAGTTGATGAATGTTTTAGTCACTGCTCTGGTGTATAGCAGCTGTATTGGGTCTTGTCTAATTGCTTAGACTGTAGAGGGTATGGTTGTGGCTTGACTGTATAGTTGCAGCTGTCGTCTCCTTTGTTTCTGTAAGCCACAGGCAGGTTTCTGCAACACAAATATCTCTAAAGCCATTCATGAACTTGCAAGATGACTGTGGCATGTTCTTTCTGCTGTCTCTGTTATTAGTCACGTCCTCTCTTGCTGTGTCTGTTCAGCTTTTCCTCCCAGTATGCACTCAGTCCACTTTTCTATCCTTTTATCTGGAGCTCAGAGTTCCAGGGCTGTCTTGTGTATCAACCTTATCCAGTTTTCTGTATCCTTGCTGCAGAAGCCCACACAGCCTTTCTGCCTAGTCCACCATCTTTCTACAATCTCCACCACTGACCTTTTGATTAGCAGACCAATGGACATAT